GAAACGATAGCTCCAATGTACGAGTCGCAGAAGTACGGACATCTAACGGGAACTTTTTCAAAGACCGTTATCTCGACTTTACCCGTTGGAGATTTGCGCCCAGGATGATTACACTCCAGTACCAGACCCAGAAAAACCTCACACAAACATCGTTTTCCCACACCTCCTACGAGGATACAACCTCCTCGCAAAGCTAAGCGCTTGAAATCACAAATTTCGCCTCATTAAGAGCAATTGTGCTCCAATCCACGTGCGTTGCGTGCGCGCGCGTGTGCGTAGCGTGACTCATCATCATGCTTCCAAGCACACGCGCTCCAACTCCAAAGCGCACTCCTTATCGCGCTCCGCATGACTACGAAGTTTTCTAGGTCCCGCAGCGAAAGTACACAGTCATAATATGCGAAATTGCATCATGTGACTTACGTTGGTTATGATTTTACTATTTTTGTGGTTCGTCTATGTTGTGTTTGATTTCTTGTGTTTCCTTTTGCGTTTCTTCTCTTCTTTGAGCCACATTGTTCTCTCACTGCTCATTATAGTTGATAATCTCTCATTTTCTCCTTTTCTTGGCCAAGCAGAGTGGCTCACATTTCGCAATACTCATATCCTTTCTCACCCTCTTTCTCACATTTTCCCTTTCACTCTCCTTTCTCATTTCACTCACATTTCACTTTATATTTGGTTTGATTCTTGTGTTTTGCTTAGGTAGAAAATTAGATCTTCACGTCCTCACTTGCATGCTACCAATCTGTCTGCAGTTGCAGGTCACCTTGTTAATATTGCACCTGCATGTTTCTTTCTCACATTTCATCTCACATCTTAACTTACATCCTCCATACTCTCGTTTACTAACTCACATCTTCCCTTCCTTGCTCACACATGCACTCCTTCTCACATCCTATTTCGCAGTCTTTCTCCTTCTTCCTATCTCACACTCACTCTCACTTCACACTCAAATTTACTCATTTTTACTCACACTCACACTCACACTTACTCTCATTCACTAACACACATATTAACATGACTTTTTAACTATGCATGTTTAACACGTTTTATCCATCGCCACGCATTTCGTTTCATTTACATGACCTCAGCAGTTGACCGCTCGCATGTCTTCTTGGCTCACACCTTTCTAACATTTGCATGCTCCATCTCTTTTTCCTCCATTTCTCATCTTTTCAACTCTTGTACCTTGTGTAGTGCTTCCGTGTAATAGTATGTGGGTAGATAAACACATCCGCACATTTTCCATTCTCGCAGTCTCACACTTCTCTTTTCAGGTAATTTGCGATCGTACTCTAACCAACTACAAGCGAACAATGACTGTTCATAAAGAGAAGACGAAGAGAGGAGAGCCTGTCCCCAAGAAGGACAGCGCCTATGATTTTCGCAGCCGTCTAGGATCGTATTCGAGGACAAATTTATCGGAACTGGAAAAGTCCCCGCCTAGGCGAAAGCTTACTCCTCCTAAGGACCAGCCGCGGACTACCATCACAGCTAATCCTACAGGTGCCGCGCTTGTCGCCGAGGTGATCCGGGAACTTTCCGCAATGAAAGCTTCCAAGCCGACGCCCGCCTCAGAAGTCTTGCCTCAGGCGGATATTTCCCATCTGAAGCCGCCACCAGGCGAAGACCCACACCTTGACCACTCACAATGATCGAGTTGATCACAGCGATCGCGAAGAGACGGCGAACTTTAATCGCCGCCTTCTTCGCGAATTTGACAGCGAGATCCAGGCATTAGCTGTCCCCCAGTCGTACAGACTCGCACTAAGCTTGCTTCAACAGCTTACCACAACTCTATCTCAGGTACATCTTCAACCCAGGCCACTTAGGACAGCAGGATTATGTGCTCATGGACGGATACCTCTATAGCAAGATCAGTCAAGTCTCTTCACGAAAGAAATCTTTGCCCCAACTGAGCAAGGTCTTAAGGAAGCCGCATCAAAGCACAATTTGCCTTTTGTGGTCATCCACGAATTGAGAGCACTAGCACATCTCTTACTGAGGCCACAAAGTACACCAGCTCATTATCCCAGCTGCCGCTACCTGACATCGAGGGACTTCTGGAACGCGTGGATCGTTTCTACATATTCACCTATAACATCAACTAGCGACGCCACGCACTCAACACCCAGCTGACGGCATTTCTGTTCATTCAGGAACCAGAGTCGCAGCATAGGCTGACGATGTTGGCAGTTTTGGAGTTTTCCCGGACAGGATAGGCCAGTTTAACCTCACATCCGCCACATAGTCGCAAAGATGGAGAAGATTAGACTCGACTACCACACGATTACCATGCGCTAGTTTGAAGCACATCCGCAAGAGTCCCACGCACCAGCGGGTGCCACAGCTCAGCAGAGCACCCCAGCGAAACGCTCACATTCGCGCTCTCGCACGAAACGACAGCAACGCGCATCCAGGAGGACATCATTACGGGTATCGCACAACTGCCATCTACATCTTCACCCCCTCCTCGATCCCGATCCCGTTCTACGAGACCGAAGAAGAAGTCACGATTGGGACTTGAGGTAAGCTCTCGGCTGCTACGTCGCCGCCGCATTCGCCGGCCCCTCAGGATGGGGCCCTTCCATTCCTTTAGAGCGCCAGCAGGAAGTGCCAAAGGAGGAAGAAG